GTTGGAGGTTGCTGTGAGCTGTGATGCCACAGCACTCTACCCAGGGCAACAGCTTGAGGCTCTGTCTCAAAAAAAAGAAGCTTTAATGGTGGTAAAGTTTGGTTTCTTTGGATAATGAGTTTATAGGTGTTTGCTTTATTATTGTGTATTATAATCTACAAATGCAAAACAATGTACATTGTTCTTTTTGTGTGTATTAAATATTTCACAAAAATAAATCTGTCATTTGTTTGTGACATATGCTATGAGTATTTTTTTATATGTAGTATTCAACATTTGTCTAATTTTTCTCCAAGGTGTATTTTCAGTAGCTGATGCCATTTTATAGGGCATGCATAGCATCCGTTTGTCCTCAATCATGTTTTTGTATGCAGGAATTTTAAACTTTTATGTGGCCAAACCATGGCTTTAGTGCCATGTCTAGGTAGGCCCCAAAGATTTAAAGGAATTAATTTAAATTTTCTTCCAGTATATTTTTCATTTAAATCTTAAATTGATCCAAGAATTATTTTGGTACAGCATATGAAGTTTTTTGGTTTTTTTTTGAGACAGAGCCTCAAGCTGTTCCCCTGGGTAGACTACCATGGCATCACAGCTCACAGCAACCTCCAACTCCTGGGCTCAAGTGAGTCTCCTGCCTCCATCTCCCAAGTAGCTGGGACCACAGGCACCCGGCTATTTTTTGGTTGCAGCCGTCATTGTTATTTGGTGGGCCCGGGCTGGATTCAAACCTACCACCTTAGGTGTATGTGGCTGGTGCCCTAGCCACTTGAGCCATAGGCGCCGAGCCCAGCATATAAAGTTTTGTTTCAAATGGCTAGCTAGTCGCTGAGATTTAAATCAAATGAAATCCCTAGTGGCCCCTTTTAAGCTGTTTTATGTATGTGCCTCCATGGGTAGAGTTGAGCTTTTGCCATTAAGTGGTCCTTGTCTAATGATTTACTAGAAGGGTAAGCCCTATGTTTGCTGAGACACAAATGCAGATAAGACCTCTTACATTATCAGACTGATTGGAGGCGTGAGTCAGCTTCTCTCTTTTCAAGCATATGAGATGGAAGTTTTTTTTTCTTTTTTCTTTTTTTTTTTTGAGACAGAGCCTCAAGCTATCCCCCTGGGTAGAGTGCTGTGGCATCAAAGCTCACAGCAACCTCCAACTCCTGGGCTCAAGTGAGTCTCCTGCCTCAGCCTCCCAGGTAGCTGGGACCACAGGCGCCTGCCACAACGCCCAGCTATTTTTTGGTTGCAGCCATCATTGTTTGGTGGTCCCGGACTGGATTTGAACCCACCACCTTAGGTGTATATGGCTGGTGCCTTAGCCCCTCGAGCCACGGGCACTGAGCCAAAATTTTTTTTTCTTTAAGAGACAGAGTCTTATTCTGTCACCCTCCGTTGAGAGCTGTGGCGTCACAGTTCACAGCAACCTTCAGCTCTTGGGCTTAGGAGATTCTCTTGCCTCAGCCTCCTGAGTAGCTGGGACTACAGGCACCCACCACAACGCCCGGCTATTTTTTTGTTGGAGTTTGTCAGGGACTGTTTTGAACCCACCACCCTTGGTATATGGGGCCAGGACCCTACTCACTGAGCCACAGGCGCCACCCTGAGGTGGAATTTTTAAAAGTCATGAGATAGCAAAAACTTGAAAGCCTTGTCTTTCTCATCCTTATAATCGCCAAAGTCCAATCATAGATGATAGCTGAGAAAGGGATTAAAGGCAAAGAGCAGCTGTCCTGAAGGTGATCACATCTGGGCAGTTTCATCTCATACTGCCATTTACTACCTTGGGTACCTAGATAAGTTTCGAAGACTTTTCCGTTTGGCTTCATGCTCACTGGAAAGCTCTTTATTGTAACTCATCTAGGAAGACCCCTGCCCAACTCATTTCTGGTCCTAATAAAAATTAATTTGTGATATGTAGAGTATCCTCGTTAAAAGATTACAGCGTGAAACGTTCAAGAACAAAATAGGGATGGGCAGGAAGAATGTAAATGTTAGCAAAATCAGTGCTTCCCACTAAGAAACCAAATCAATACTACAGGGAGTTGATGTTGTTACCTCTGTTTTTATTGTTTTGTTTTGTTTTTCTCTGAAAGTTGGAGACAAAAGGGGCTGAGATGTGGATGGTGGGGATAGGGATGACTGCAGACTGGTTCAATATTAACCGCCTCTCAGCATTTTGATATTGTAACAACCAAGTTTCTATCTCTTTATTTTTTCCATACTAAAGCTGCCTCCCATCAGGGCCAAAAGGGGAGTAGTGGGGGAAAAAGAAAAACCCTCTCAAACCCCAGGCCAACCTCACCATTTGTGTAGGGCCAGCACAGTCTGTGCGTTTCACTTTTGTCATCATCTGTGTCAATATCAGATTGTCCACTTTCCTTTGGCATCCTAGGCTTGCTTTTCCAATGAGAAATGTTTTATTTCCTTGTTCTGGACTTTATATTTACCTTACTATTTCTATATTCAATTAAAGTGGTTTAATTTTACATTTTAAAACAAAATAAGCTACTGCCCTAGTTGGGGGGGGGGTGGAATTGAGGGAACAGCTGCTCTAAATGAGCTCCAGTTTCCTGGAGGTACATACAAGGGTCCTGAGAATATTTGCAGATGGAACTCATCAGACACTTCATTTTTGAATTATTGTGGAGTAACAAGAAAGGTGTCAGAAGCCTAGAGGCATTGCTAATACAATCTTTCGCAAAGGGATTCTATAAACTGCAGTGCGTGTTGATTCCAGGTCAGATTCTGGAATTCTCTGGGGAAGTGATGATGTATATGCTTCAGAGTAGGAAACCCTGGGAGTTTGAACACAGACTCAGAAAGATCATGAGACTTTGGGCCAGAGGCTCTGCACCCTGTGAGATTCATCTCTTTTTTTTTTTTTTGAGACAGAGCCTCAAGCTGTCCCCCTGGGCAGAGTGCCGTGGCATTACAGCTCACAGCAACCTCCAACTCCTGGGCTCAAGCGAGTCTCCTGCCTCCGCCTCCCAAGTAGCTGGGACCACAGGCGCCCGCCACAACGCCCGGCTATTTTTTTGGTTGCAGCTGCCATTGTTGTTTGACGGGTCCGGGCTGGGGATTCGAACCGGCCACCTTAGGTGTACGTGGCTGGCGCCTTAGCCGGTTGAGCTATAGGCGCCGAGCCTCATCTCTTTTTTAAAACAGTAAATATTTCATCATGTTTCTTCTGTCATCCTGAACTTAATGCCAAAAACAGTATAACCTACTTATATACATTATTTGTAAAAAACATGTTAGGTATATGCTCACATACATATATTTTACATATCTGTATATGTAAAATACCCTAACAGTAATATAAAGGAGAAATTTTTAAATGTACAACATAAAGTGTATTATAATGTGTAGACGGTCTGGGTATAACCATGCTAGAAGACATAAAGAAATATCAGAAGATTTTACCAACATGCAGGATCACCTAGAATGCAGACCGCTGCAAGTGCAAACTGACAAAGATATGTAGCGTTGTTGTTGGTGATGTGATTTTCAGAAATGGTGATCACGTCTTGGTAAGGGTCTGAGCAAAGCAAAGTATGGTCTTCCTACAACTTAAATAGAAGTTCCCATCCTGGTAAATTTGGCATATATGAAAACCATATTTAAAAATACTTAGTGTTTATTTGTAAAACTGAGTTAAGGACTAGGCTGAGACAAGAGACATTTCCAAGTCCTATGAAAGATCTTCACTGTGCAGCTATTGTCCACTCAAATATTGTGGTATGCCCAGCATGCTTGGCCTCTGCAGGTGATACCCTCTGATCATGACAACAACAAAAATTCCCAAAGGATGGCCCTAACCTTGTGCTAACAGAGTTTTTCATGGCCATGACTGGGAGAAGGAAAGCATAGAACAGAGAGTACTTGTGTTCAGAGAGTACCAAAAGCTACTGGAGGCCCAGGGACATTGGCTCACACCTGTAATCTTAGCACTTTGGGAGCTCAAAGAGGAAGGATGATTTTAAGCCAGGAGTTTGAGATCAGTCTGAGCAGCACAGCAAGACTGTCTCTACAAAAAAATAGAAAAATTAGCTGAGCATTGTGGCATGTGCCTTGAAGTCCCTCATGAGGCTGAGGAACATGGACCACGAGCTGTGATGATGCCTCTGCACTTCAGCCTGGGTAACAAAGCAAGATCTTTCTTTAAAAGATCTTTAAAAAAGCTATTGGACATTGGCCATTAACATTAAAATGACTATTTAGATTAGATGTCTTTTTTTTTTTTGGAGACAGAGTCTCTGCCCTATCACCCCAGGTAGAGTGCAGTGTCATCTTCATAGCTTCCTGAAGCCTCAAACCCCTGGGCTCAAGTGATCCTCTTGCTTCAGTCTCCTGAGTAGCTGGGACTACAGCATCTGTCACAAAAACCCTGAGATCTTGCTCTTGCTTAGGCTGATCTTGAACTCCTGAGCTCAAGTATATTATCTCCTGCCTCGCCTTGGCCTCCAAGTGCTGAGTATAGCCACTTTGCTGGCCTAGATGTCCTTTTAAGGTGCTTTCCAACCCTAATATTTCCTGTTTCTCAGTAATGTTTTTTACTTTTCTAATTGTTTTCATTTTACTAAGAAACTGTAATTGCATTGACAAGTATTAAATGACAAAGAGGCTTAGCACCACTATGATTATTTTCTGTGACCCTTTCTATTCTAAATGCTCTGTTCTTTCTCTGAGCTCAGCCGCTTTTGACCCTCCCTTTCCTGTGGGGAGCTGACTGGCCTTGTCTCCCTCAGGTCCCCTGTCTAGCTGGCGGTCTTTGCCAACTGCAGTAGAAATCTTTGCCGTTTTTCAATGACTAATTTTTCCCAGCATCATCTGTACTATATAAGGAAAGTGAGTATAGACTGCGAGAATATGTGTGTAAGTTTTAAAGTTTTTGTTGTTATCCTGTTTGATTTTCTTCTGTTAGGAATCAATTTCTGAAAGTGAAAATTGAATTTTAACTTTTCTGACTAATACCAAGTTTTATTTTTTATGTTTTATTTAAGGCTGTTTCTGATGCTTGGAAGCTATCCTTTCATCCACAAAGATGGTAATAAATCTTTGCCTTCCACAGTTCAGGCCAAGAATTCACTGCAACAAGGTAAACAAGACAAATATATACACATATACTTTAAAATATACAATTTGTATTTTCTCATTTTCTGCCTTGTGAATGTGGACTTGATGCAGGCTTACTGTACTTTAACCCTCATTATTTTATTTTTTAAAATTTATATTTTTTGAGACAAAGTCTCAAGCTGTCACCCTGGGTAGAGTGCTATGGCGTCACAGCTCACAGCAACCTCCAACTCTTGGGCTTAAGCGATTCTCTTGCTTCAGCTTCCCAGCAGCTGGGACTACAGGTGCCCACCACAATGCTTGGCTTTTTTTGGTTGCAGTTGTCATTGTTGTGTAGCAGGCCCGGGCTGGGTTCGAACCCATCACCCTTGGTGTATGTGGCCTGAGCTTTGCTGACTGAGCTACGGGTGCTGCCACCCTCATTATTTTAGATCCCCCCAGATGGTATTTAGGTAAGCATGGGTCAGGCGCACCTCTGGAGTCATGTGGCACCATTATGAGGTAAGCCATGTCATTTTGTGCAAGATCTTTTTTGTGTTCTTCTCTCTCGGATCATCAATTTCAAGTGCAGTCAGAGTCATAGTAAAGGTAAAAATTCTCTCTCATAGTTCTTGCTAGTTTCTAATGCCAGAAATAATGACTTGTATTTGTTACGTGGATTCCTTGTTCTTTATTATTTGAATTAGCCTACTTTCCACAAAAGGGGAGGAAGCTTATCAGTCCACAAGCAGAGCAGGGAATAAGGAAACACCGCGGGAAAAACCGAACCCCTCTCTAATTCAGAGTTTCTGTACCCAGCATTCTACTTCAAGTTTCTGGATTGCTGGGCTGACTCCTTTATAATTCCATTGGTTGTAGCAGTTTCCCCTGATTAGAAGTTACTTCTTCCCCCTAGCACATTCACCATGCTAAATATCCCATAGTGTTTTGTACACACATTTTTTTCTATGAAGTTTCATCTGTATAATTGATAGGGTCCAAAAACAAAATTGAGAACTTTAATGAACATTTTTATTTTCTCCTAAGTCTGCATATTTTCTTCTGAAATAAAAAACTACTATCTGTTCCCTTGCCCCAAAGATATTATTTTGAAAAGATTTGGGGTTTGGTTGGGCAGGATTTTGTGGCTCATTTTTAAGGTTGGGCAGTAGTTGGGGACACAGTTGCCTTCAGCCTTTGACCAGATCTTGTGTGCCTGCAAAAAGAACTTAGGACAATTCAGTTTAACAGATTAACTTTTTTTTTTTGTAGAGACAGAGTCTTACTTTATCGCCCTTGGTAGAGTGCGGCACTCAGCTCACAGCAACCTCCAACTCCTGGGCTTAGATGATTTCTCTTGCCTCAGCCTCCAGAGTAGCTGGGACTACAGGCACTCTCCATAACGCCCAGCTATTTTTTGTTGTTGTTGCAGTTTGGCCAGGGCTGGGTTTGAACCCGCCACCCTTGGTATATAAGGCTGGTGCCCTATTCACTGAGCCATAGGCACTGCCCTATTTTTATTTTTTTTTTAATTTTTCTTTTAAGAGACAGGATCTCGCTGTGTTGCCCAGGCTGGAGTGCAGTGGCTATTCATAGGCACAATCCCACTACTGATCAGCATGGGAGTTCTGACTTGCTTCGTTTCCGACCTGGGCCAGTTGACCCATCCTTAGGCAACCTGGTGACCCCCTGCTCCCAGGAAGTCAGCATATTGATGCCGAACTTAGTGCAGACACCCGATTGGCATAGTGCAATATGTACAATATGTATTTTGTCATTTCCCAGAACTCCTGGATTGAAGCGATCCTCCTGTCTCAGCCTCCCAAGTAGCTGAGACTACAGGTGTGTCTGGCAGAACTTTTATTTTTTAATTAAATTTAATTTTTTTGAGAGAGAGTCTTAAGCTGTTACCCTGGGTAGAGTGCCATGGTGTCATCATAGCTCATAGCAACCTCCAATTTCTGGGCTCAAGTGATCTTCTTGCTTCAGTTTTTCTATTTTTAGTAGAGATGGGATCTTGCTCTTACTCAGGCTGGTCTTGAACTCATGAGCTCAATAATCCACCCACCTCAGTGGAACTTTTTTTTTTTTTTTTTTTTTTTGAGACGGAGCCTCAAGCTATCCCCCTGGGTAGGGTGCCATGGCATCACGCTCACAGCAACCTCCAACTCCTGGGCTCA